TTATCAGTGCACTTGGAGCTCACAGAAGTCAGTGAACCCAAAGTACACTTGGAACTCACAAATTCCGGCCTTAGATTAATGGAGGGTTTCGCGTTTAGAAGGTTATAGAAGACTGTTGTATACGATGACCTGATCCTGTATTTGTCTGAATGAGGGGGACGTCAATGTTGTTATTCTCTGGGATTGTAAACATCCAGAAGGCTGTTTTACAAAATACGACCTTTTCTGCTAACGGGTCGTGGATATATGCGCACTTAGAGGAGGCCCGGGTGATTTCCCAATATCAATACTCAGGCACCCATCTGTCCAAGTCGTGTCGATTATACTATTACCTTAGTCAAAAACAGAAGCTATCGACAAAAGATCAAACTACTATATGTATATACATACACATATATATATTACCAAGTAAATGTGTCCGAAATGAAAAGCCATTATAGTGAGATACTTTAAAATATTCCGTCGTATTCACGTTAAAGTGGACTGACAGAAAATTCGGTAAATTAGTGTGTTGCCGACGAATATCCTAACACCATCCCATCAGCATGGAGCAATTTTTCTCAGCAACTCAGAAAATTGAATCGTGTCAAATAAAATAACTGCATGGAAGCATTTTAGGGCACATTAGCAATCAAAAGAATCACCCAAAAAATGAATCGTGACCAAAAGAATCATCCAAAAAATTGATGAATAACCAAACGGATTGTCAACCGCTGCTCAAACGTGCAGCGGGCCGGAACTAAAACCTTCAAGGGAAATTTAAAGCTTTTTAGGTCACTAAATATTATATTCCGGGGACGGCTTTCTTTTAAACAACCGCTTAGTCGTTTACGCGAATACAACAATTTTATTGATGCCATTAGCAGTGTGACTTTCAACTCTGAAGGATTGCAGACATGGGACCGTTATTCAAAAACAGATGTATCCGTGAATAGGTCAGGAAGTCAGCTTCGAATAAGCCAGTGAAGTGCGATTACCCGAAAAATTAACCAGATGAAGCCACGGGCATATATCAAACAATGGGGAATAATAAATGCTTTGAACTTGTTGAACTTCATTTTGCTTGTTTATTGAAAATACATCAACACTGGAACCCAACACCCACGACTGGGGAGCACACATACCCGAATTGTAATTGTTATAGCCTGAAATCAATTTTATGGAAAAATGTGCATTACGCAGCTGCAATGTTAAACGAAACAACTCATCCTAAACACGTACGACATGCACTCGTTTTTGCACATATATTTTATTAATATCTGAGGATTGTTAATTTCTGTGTTCATACATTTTGCGAGATTTTTAATTCTTGAACAATTCAACAGGCAAAAGGTCTGATATTCTCCTTCTAGGCGTTTATGGACGATGAATCTCAAATGTCTACAAAGTTATGGTGGGTATTCAGAGACAATGAAACGTGCATTGGTGGAATGTTGGTCATGAACATCCCATATTAATTGCTTCACCGCAAGTACGTGTATTATTTTTTAATTACCTTGTTGATACCCGTAACCTGTGAGCAGCAGTTCAAATGTTAACGAAAATTAGGGAATTGTAGTGAGGCAAAATTGACTACAATATTTTGCGCATGTCCATTTACCAATGGGTGACAACTTTCCAGGGGCATAACGTGGCTATTCGGCGACATTTGACCAAACATTTTATACTGTCTAATGCCTGAAAACAGATTGCAGATACGCGCCGTATCAGTAATGTGTTGGTCTTTCATTAGTTCGAATTTACAAAATGATGTTTGCATCACAAACAGTTGATCAAATACGCTTGATCAATTAGGCAGGTCATTTCAATTTCAAAAACATTAAGCCACCATTGCTTTAGACTTGGGATGACATGTTATCCAGTCTCAGAGCGTCAGCTAAAACGTTTAAATATCCTGCATTAAAGAAGTCCTCGCAGAAGGCAAACTAAATAGCAGTCCTGGAAGACTGTGCATTGAGTGACCTGATTGTTTACCGGTTAACATAAGATGCTTCATTGTTGAACAGTTTAAAGGGCCAATCATCATCGAACAAACGTATGTCCTTCCGAATTTTTAAAAGACTTGGGGGCTGAAAAGTGCTCCCATTATATGTCTGACCGTCAATCTTACGGATTTTACGGGCCCACACTTAGTAACATATCTAAGCCCGCAGATGATGTTTTCGTGTAATGCAACCAATATACAAAACAGCTATCTGTTAGGTGTCAAAATGACCACAAAATACTAGCGGACACTGAGTGTCTAAGTTTTAAGGAAATGCTCATCAAGCTCAGAGGAAAGGTGCAAAAATTGAAATGAAGCTGACATTGATGGTAGGCTTTCAAAATTGTACGAACAATTAAGTAAACTATGCTACTATGAATACTGATAAACTAATTAATTTGATGTTCATAGTGCACTACTCATAGGATTGCTCGCCCTTCTTGGGGCCCACCACGTGAGTGCAAACCCTGAGATTTTGTCAATCTTATGTTCTACTTGATACCAAAATGCAGCAAATTAGCGAAACAAATCTGGTTTTGAAAGATACGCACCTGACACCCACTTGGATCTGTCGTTTGTGATGTTTCCAGGCAACTGAATGTGAAGCTCATCACAAGCGAGCGATTTACCTGGGTTCCAACTGAATCTCTCTCAAAACCTAATTTGTTCGCTGAGATAGATTGCATATTTTGGCCAACTTCTCCTGTGCCAATATCAAACCGCATAAACTAACGAATACAACTCAAAAGAAGTCTTATAAATTCTGGACGACAATTGGTAATACGGTTTGGGCAAGTTCTGAATTGAATGCCCCAAAGTATACTACTATACCAGTATATAATTCTTTTCCTTTAGTTCGGCTGATAACTTCAACATATTTCAACTAAATATTCACCATCAAGAAGAGCCATCCTGATCATCAGCTTGTCCCGCTGACTTTACTAGCCTCTCGAATTCTCCAAGGAATCGGCTTCATTGTCATCATCAAAGGCAGCAACGTCATTTTTGACACTGATGCATCACTGGCGTCACAAAATGACTGGGCCTAACCGCGGTTTGTGTACCTAGGCGACCGACTGATCCATCCAGTGGTGTCCGCGCGACACTCACGGGGTCTATCGTACCAGATAGGTCCATGGGTAGAGCTGTGACGAACAGTCTTTTGGCTCTCCAAGTTGAAGGTTGGAACATATGTGGCGACGTGCACCGCAAAAATGGTGTAAATGCATTTCCAGCCAAACATTGCTGGACTGCATTTAGGCTTTTGAGCCACAAGCTTTGGTTGAGGACCCTAATCGTTCTCCTGTATAGGTGAAGGCGATGTAGCAATATCCCAGCCCTCGTGCAACCATGACATTAACAGATGAAAGGAATCAGCTTAGGGTAACGGGAATCATGATTGCTCACGCCCTACCTCCGTTAGCAGTGACATGAATGGATTCATGCGAAAAGATAATAAACATTACCCACATTCATCATGTTGAAAAAAAATGACCGGATTCCTCACAACAAACGGCAATGAAAAATCCAAAGTCTTGAGATCCTGGGGCAGCAAACGATAAGCACACAATGGATCGGATTTAATAACCTTAAGCTGCATGATTTCTTGACGGTGATGATGACATCTGAGAAAATGTAGGTTTTTGGCTAAGGTTTAACTTAGTTCACTTGATGCGGCTCTTTGGTTGGTATGAAAACTATTTGTTTTTGCCGATGCATTTGAGACCTACTTGGTGTCTGGTGAATACATAGTCAGCTGTCAAGAAAGCTCACAACTAGTGCCTCCAAGTGTAACAAATAAGATGGTCTAAGCGGTAAAATTCCACATTTTTTGCATTCGAAATGGAATCCCAACAGCGCTAGCTGCTATTCTTTTAGCAGGAAGTTGTGAAACGTTCTCGGCCCAACATCAATCGTTAATTTTCGAAAGCAACAAGGACCACAGAGATTCAGCATCTTTACTTGTGACTCCAAACATACCGTTGGGAACAAGGTAATAAAAGACGTTAGGTTTTCTGCCGAGTGGGCTTGGAGTGAGCCAATTTATCAGATAAAGTAATCGCTTTGCGTGTGTACCAGAAAAATTCTAGTAAATCGGGTAAAATTCTGTTAGGATAATGTGGTACGACGGAAGAAAAAAGCCGTTGGTCTAGAGAGACTTAAACTGCCCTACTTCTCGAAAGCCAGGAATATCATTTTTATATGAATTCAAACCCCTTCGTAGATATCATTCAAGACCGCTAGACTCAAAGTTTGCCGCCGTCATCCGTGGTTCTGAACGTGCGGTTTTGTGGCAGCACATATTCCAGAACCATTAGAAGGAAACTTTCAAATAAGAAAAACCTAACCCTGCAGAACGTTTTGTTATCATTAAACCCAACGCTTCTTTTATGACTGTTTAGCCTTTAGGAAGCTAAAGTTAGTTTGCTAGCATTTTATGCTTAAGTCTCCCTCTGAGAAAGATGCCTCCGTTTGACAGATCATGCTAACTGTGAGAAAGGGTTATCTTTTGCATCATAGACAGTCATTCAGCTGTAGCACCCTTCCGTGCCTGACTGCCATGCCACCCGAAGCTTGCATGAGGGCTGGGATACTGCCAGGTTATCCAAGCCTGGCGAGAAGAAGTCAAGAGGCAGAGGTCGGGTACAATCCACGGATCTTTTGGTCGGTAAATTCGTGCCCTAACCGCTTGGGTCATTTAGCACCGTCACATACAGTACCATCTCAGTAGCGGTACTCACAACAAGGGTTCTAGTACCAAGAACAGTCGAAATGTTGAAGGACTTTGTACGACACTGATTAGTTAATGAACTGATAGATTGGGTCACTGGAGTTGCAGTAGCTACAAGAAAGCACATGAATTGAGTTAAGTTGCTGATTTTAAATGTTTCTTAAACATTGTAGACTTATTGTGTTAGCTGACACCCAAAACTATGTTGGGAAAACCTATTCATCTCGTTTAAACTGCCGTTGGATTTCTGACAAATAAGACATCAAGAACAACCAAATTGCCGTACTAAGATCTCTGTGGTTTTATTCGCATTCTGTTTGGAGGTACCGCATACGATGGGCCAGGCAAAAGTTGGTTTGGTCGTTGGAGGACCATAAATTCTAGACCATACACCACTCTACCGATGACATCCTGGAGAACACAAAGAAACTTAGACTGCTTTCTCAAACATTTTTTCGAAGATGGTATATGTCTGTCTCCTGATAAGTTACAAGTAAATCCGGGAAAAGTTTAAACAATTTTGAATACGACTATTTCAGTTGATACCACGCTTGTTTTGGGGATGAACTGCGTTGTCAACTGTCCTAATCATATTTTATCCTAGAAAACAGATACAATGAACTCGATACGTTCGTTCACAGTGGAGTATGCGTTTGAAACAGCTCAATGAATAACAGTTTTCAAGGTCATATTTGCCCACTTAGCCTCGTGGACGCTCACTTATTGTTTGCAGAAACCCTCGGGAAAAACACACACGTAACGACTGAGTCAAAGACCTGCCTGAAGTAATTCCGTTTAACACGTAAACATGTGTTTGACTTCAACCGACAAGGACCCCGAATTACTACCAAAAATTTCAGTCATTTGAGAAAACAATGTGCAAATGAGAGGTAAATCCTTCAGGAGAAAATTCAACGGCAGCACGTCAAATTCAAGCAACTGCTGTCCGTTGGGGAACCCAACTTTCAGAGCCATGTTCAATAGATTTTGGAAACTCTCTTGTGTCCAAACATCAACTAGAACCCTTATGGAGATGAAGCGCCTTGTATATCGTAATTTGCAAAAAATATTCTACGCATGGATTAGTGATTCAGCACACTGATACATTTAGAATGGATGTATAAGACCATGCGCTTAACGTTTCTGCCAGGTCCGCAGTTCACTGACCAATTCTTTCGCTATAAAAAGGTCACCTGATGACAACGAGTCTTTCAGACGGTTCTCAATACGGGCTCTTTAAATGGGAAATTGTGACGTTCCTGGCAATCCTCTTTGTTGCTTCTTATTTCAATAAATGTTTTACATTTTTATACATTACTTAAACACGAACAAATCTGCCCGTCTTTATTTCTACTCCCTAACTTTTTTCAGCACCTGACCGTCGGCAAACTAGTAAAAGTTTAAAAAGTGTGGATAATTTTTGGTTACAATTTACTGCCAGCCGCTCACTTTGGATCAAATATATTCGATATAGTTTGTCGTAAATTTACTTTTCGGAATGTGCAAAATGCTGTTTTTCGTAGAAAAGTTCATTTTACAACTGATAATGTAAGATCCGTATTTTTGATAACCATATTTTTCATGGTGAAGGGCATGCATTGACTAGACAGTACTTTCACAACAGTCTTTTGTGATCTGCAAACTTCTCGGTCATAAAAATCAACTTCTTAGATAAATTTAAACCTCAGTCACTGTTTATGGCCACTAAACAAAAACTGCCTACTGAGTCTTTCGCACAATTACCCTGCCTGTCCGAATGCGAGCTAATACCTAAAGGTTGCTTGCGGCATTCGAAATCAGTGGGCTACTAAAAAGCAATTCAAAACCATTTCCTGAGTACTTCTTTTGACACGGGAGGTCGTTCTGTTCCAGTACATAAATTTTGATTTGAGGTTGTGGTTTCCAAAAGTGAACTTTGTATTTGCACAGTTTTTCTGTTAAGTGAGCTCGACATACCTGATGGTTGTTGACCGTAGCCTGAAAGAATCCACGAGAATTCGCAAACGTTTCTTAATTAAAAAACAATTGAATTCACGTATACGTTAGGCTATAAAAATGTTTTCGTCATGTGTCTCCGATTTGAACAGGTCCTTGTGTCTAGTTAAAATTCTGGTCCCCGGAATGGAACGGTACAATCTCAGCAGCACAAAAAATGTGTGATCTATAGCCCCAAATAGGTAGGAAATTTCACTTCAGTACTCTTATGCAAAATCCTTGCAGTTACAAAGTTCGTTCACGAATCCTTCTTCCAAGCTCACTAAAGCCCAACTGTGTTCCTTTATACCTTTGGGTAAATTTTCCAGAAGTTTCTTGTTGAATATGCTCAATTTATCTCCAAATGAATCCAGTTTTTTTCAGCTTTCTATAGTGAGCACAAACTTGAGCTCACTAAAGCCCAACTGTGTTCCTTTATACCTTTGGGTAAATTTTCCAGAAGTTTCTTGTTGAATATGCTCAATTTATCTCCAAATGAATCCAGTTTTTTTCAGCTTTCTATAGTGAGGCCTTCACAAACTTGGTGATGTGATCCATTTTGATATCACACTGAAATATGCTTCAGCCGATTAACTTAGCGTAATAAACACACGTTAATAACTGAGCGTACATAAATATGAGTTTTCATGTAAACGGAAATTTGCCCATACTTGGATGTAAGAAAAACCGGCCAATGAAATTGAGCTCTCTTTTTAATAGTTGCTTCCCACTTTTCGATAGTACGACCAGTTGAAAATAGAACAATAAACAGGTCTTCCGTGGTTTCGAAAGTGTGGAAACGGGGGAGGGTACAGATTCCAGAACCATTAGAAGGAAGCATATAAATAAGAAAACACTTAACACTGCAATGAACCTGTTGCTCATTTTTTACTTTTTGGCCATTAGGAAGTTGGAGTTTATTATCAACAACCCTAGTTACTTCGCTATTATTTTATGCCCGAATCTCTTTCAGACAAAGGTGACTCTGTTTGATAACTCATGCTACCTATGACAAATGGTCATCGTTTGCATCGCAGGCAGTCATTCAGCTGTGGTGTTGTCGTGATAAATTGCGTAATATATATATATATATAT